GTCACACAAGTATTACTGATATTGTGATAGCTAGAAGCTTACTTCATATTTCTTGATTAATCATAAATGTCAAATCACATGATAATTTACTTATTGAAATTTGGTACAAGATCGAGTAAAAATGCTTCGACATAATTAGTGTTCATAGTAATTTTGATGTGGTATTAAAATAAAAAGAAGAAGAAAACATACTCTCTAGCATAAGGGGGTTCTATAGATAAAAACAAAACCTATTGGGGTTTATGAATAGATATCAGAAATATACGGTGGCATATTGTCATTAATTTGTGGACAACATAATTTACGTGGCACATTTAGACACATAATTTCGTCTTCCACTCCAATTTTTCCTCTTTTAATTTCTCTTTGTATTTAAAAATTCGTGAACCATATTCTAATCGAACGAAGAATCTCTCGCTCGAAAGAAAAAAATTCTCTCTCCGATACGGCAAAGGTATGCTTCGTCTATATCGAACATTTTGTTTTTATAAGATCTTAGTCGGGTGAGTAATTCTGAGTTTGAATTGATCTAAACAGTAGAAGATCAGTTTTCCAACAATTTGTTGATCATTGCTTTTGTCTCTTTTCCGTGTGTTTGTGTACGCGATGATCACGCCAGATTTCGGCTTTGCATTTAGATTCACTGTGATTCGAAGAAATTTGAATTGGGTTTTATCTCGTTATTGAAATTTGAGATGTCGAATTTCTGAAGTCCCGATCTTTCGTTTTGGTTCGGCTCTGAAACATCATCATCTGTTCCTGTTGTAGTTATTGTCAACATTATATGTAGTTATTGACCATGAGACATGTGTTTCTGCTGCAGAACAAATTTGACAAGAAGTGAGCTTTTGAAAGATTTCTCTAGATTGTGATGGGAGTTGTGTTTATTTCAAGTTCAGCTGCAAGATCTCCACTCGGTTTAAGCAGCGATCTTTTAACACATCGGTCTTCTTCGCTTAAAAAACCATTCATTGTTGCTTTCAAAATTGATGATTCCAGCAATTCAGCTTTGATCATTCCTCGTGAACAAGTTTTGATTCCCGCGGAACAACGAAAGGAGAAGAGAGTAGTAACGAGGAGAAAACCCTGTAAAATCCCGAAGAAGCCGGATACTTTAGATCATAACTCGGCTCCTTCGTGTTCGTTAGGAGTGGACTACAACGAAGCTGCTGCTAGACTAGAGAGCATATACAAGCTTAGTCCTGCAACATCGGTCGAAGAAGATGAAGATTGCTCGAAAGTGAAGGTTTCACCGAGGAGAAAGAGGAAAGAAAATGGTGAGGAGAAAGTAGTTGTAAGGAATAATTCGAAGAAGGAAAAGCGTATGAGTCTTGAGAAAAGGATTGCTTTGAAGAGAAATACTCAAGAGAAACCGGTTATTGCTTCTTCGCCGAAGAAAGTACCTAAGAGGCAGCAAGAGGAAGAGAAGATCGAGAGGCTCGTGAGGGATTATTCAGCTTCTAATGATGTAGTCAGCTTGGACTGGAAAAAGATGAAGATACCTCCCGTTCTTTCGTCAACTGAACATTCTTGGTTGTTTAAGTTGATGCAACCTATGAAGGTTTAATTTGAGCATGTAGTCTATAGTGAGATGATTCATTGTTAAATGGAAGCTGGAATTTTGGTTATCACAGTTGCAATATGTATGCTCAAATTGTTTAGGGAATTTAACATTGCAGGCTCTTCTTGAAGTGAAAGGTGAATTGCAAAAGAGCCTTGGAAGAGAACCGAGGGAAGCTGAGATAGCTGAGGAGATCGATATGAGCGCGGCTGAAGTGAAAAGGAAAATCGAAATTGGTAAAGCTGCAAGAAACAAACTTATTAAGGTGAGTATATAAAAACTAAAGGTCAATAGATTTTTACCATGAGAGGCTATTGTTATGGACATAACCCTTTTATCTTTTCTGTTTTTGCCGACATTGCAGCACAATCTCCGCCTTGTATTGTTTGTTATGAACAAATATTTTCAAGATTTAACCAACAGACCGAAATTCCAAGACCTTTGTCAAGCCGGTATGAGAGGGCTTATCACAGCTATTGACCGTTTCGAGCCGAAAAGAAAGCTCCGTCTCTCAACTTATGGTTTGTTTTGGATTAGACATGCCATCATACGGTCTATGACAACCTCAAACTTTACTCGTGTCCCATTTGGACTTGAATCGGTATGTTTTACCCTCTCTCTTTGGCCCTTTTTTTTCAGAGATAGATTGTTTTGCGGAGAACTTACACATTTCCTCTTTCTTGAAACCATTCAGGTGAGAGTGGAGATCTATAAAGCAAAGATGGAGCTATTGTTTGAGCTGGGAAGACTCCCGACAGAGGACGAGGTAATTGAGAGACTCAAGATATCACCTGAGAGATACCGTGAAGTGTTGAGGGCCGCAAAACCGGTTTTCTCACTAAATTCAAAACATGCGGTTACTCAAGAAGAATTCATCAACGGAATCACAGATGTTGATGGTGTAGGAGCTGATAACCGAAGACAACCTGCTCTTCTCAGGCTCGCTCTTGATGACGTGGTAAGTTTTAATCCTTCATCTCCTTACACAATCATCAGGACTTAAGTGACTTAACTGGCTCATATTTCTCATTTTTGGCTTAATCTCTATGTGAATACTGAGTAGTAGTGAGTATGATTGGTTACATTTCGTTCTCAGCTCGATTCATTGAAGCCGAAAGAGAGTCTGGTTATTCGGCAGAGGTACGGTCTTGATGGGAAAGGAGACAGGACTCTGGGAGAGATAGCTGGAAATCTCAACATCTCCAGAGAAATGGTGAGGAAACATGAAGTCAAGGCCTTGATGAAGCTCAAACATCAGGCCAGAGTTGATTACCTCCGTCGCTACATTGTCTGAAACCGAGCCAAACCGAACCAAACCCCCACCTCTTTCGACCATTTGAGCGTACGTACTAGGTATGAGTCCCCGAATTTACGAGATACTTCCAACCGCCTTATAACCACCGTTGGTATAGTTGTGTATGTGATTATCAGTCAGAGTTACTTATATAGCTGCAATCGTTGTATTATATCTAAACCGATACCGAAAAGTTATACATGTAAAGTTTGAGATTTTGTGTGCATATATATTCACAAAATTGAACCGGTATAACCGGTGGTGTTTCTTTCCTTGGCAAAGCTTTCTACCTAAGGAAGTGTAATCAATAGAACCGGTTTGTAAGGAAATGAAGAATTCAACCAGAATTGAGTCCGGTTTGATATAACTTCGAAGAGTTTAAAACCGGTTTTGAGTGGTGCTGAAGATTCGTAAAAGAGTTGACTGTGAAGTGACACCGTTGATTCACAGAGTCTCTAACACGGCGACGAACGAACCATTTTCGTCTTTGCCTTGTAAATTCATAATAATATTCCTTTCTACATAGATCATATGATTGATTTTTGAGGTCAACTTAAAAAGTATTCACAACACACAAATTTTATATGTATAGTTCTGATTCTAGAATCTAAACATATAAAATTGAAGATTGTTACTCCCTACGTTTCACAAGAGTAAGACTTTATTTTTGTTTTGTATTTTAAATACATAATTTTGAATCAAAATCAGTTTTGGCCATATTGTTTTAGCGTATTAATTAGAAGGATTATTGTATTAATCAGTTTTGGCCATATTGTTTTAGCATATTGTAATAATACTGAAAGTGAATCAAAAGATTGTGACCCTAATATAAAAATGAAAACCAGATCATGTAATATGAAAATCCAATAAGACCGAAAATAAAGGGATCGAGAAGCGAAGAACTGGTCAGCAAGTTGGACTTTCCAAATTCATTGACCAACGACCGGTCTCACCTCTCTCCATTTACTTCCACATCAGCTTTCTTCATTCTTCAGTCAAAAAGTCAAAACTATCTCTCTCACACATAATCCTCTTTAAATTCCACTCTTTCAAAATTTCCACAAGCCATGCATACAATAAACATAGTATCATCAACAAACATACATGCTCTCTCGATAACACATTTTCAAAAACTATTTCATATTTCACACTCTTTTAAAACGTAATGGAGAGGAAGAGTAGTAGTGGAGAGTGGGAGAAAATGAAGAAGGAGATCAACGACTTAATGACCCAAGGAAGAGACTATGCTCATCAGCTCAGATCGGCTTCATCGCAAGAAAGTCGTGAACATTTGACCAAGAAGATTCTTGAATCTTACCACAAGTCTCTTACCATTATGAACTATTCCGGTGAATACGATCAAGATTCCCACGGTGAAGGAAGCCCGAATAGCGATGATTCCGACCAAGAACCACGCATCGTCAAGAGGTACATCCATATATCTACAAACTAAAAGTTATCTTAAACTATTTAAAAGTCATGTTTCTACCTTTATTAAATGTATATTAGTTTGATATGTTAAAAGATATTTCTTTGGAAATATTAAGTTTCAATATACAAAATTTGTTTTAAGATAATTTGCTTTGTCTGAGTGCTTGCATTATTATTACTAGAATATGACCCGCGCGTCGCGCAAGTTTTTGTTTTATAATTTTAATAAATTTAATAATTTTTATGTATTTATTTAGTAGTTTAATACTTATGTATGATAAAACAACCAATTATTTGTAGATACAAAATATTATTTGAGTTTAAATAAAATAATTTAATTTTGTGATTTAGTATTAATAATGCTTAAATATATGAAGTGATTATCAATGACTTCGATATCGATAGTTCCCTTTAAATATTTTTTTTTTAACTTTGTTACGTACGTATATGTGACTATTATATAAATCATGTTATCTAAATAACCAATCATGATTTAGAAGTTAAAATTTATCAATCATTTTTTACTCTATCTTTATAATATGATTACTTATCATTTTTTGTCATTTATCTCTGTCTTCTGAGTTTATATATATTTTGATTTTTGTTCATCGTAGAATCCTGGTCTTCGTAATAGGTTGATAAATAAAAATATTATGATAATTTTTTAAGTTTAATGTATGGTTAAAAAAAGTTGGATTGAATGTTAGATTTATTTTTTATTGAGCTACAAAATCTTTTAATAAGAAAAAAACCTTTCATATTTCATGAAATATATAGATCTTAAAAATAATATAGAAAATATTATTTTTCTTTTCACATTTTAGAAAACATATGATTAATTCAGTTGATTTTTACTAACTGTGTCAATTATAAATTCATAAACACATTTGAGTTTTTTTA